GGAAAACAGATGTCGGCTGAAGTTTATAAGCCGCTGTAGAAGTCAGGTGGCTAAGATACCAACTCTATACACGGTTCCTAGGAAAAACGTTTATATCAGTCTGCCATACAGAGGGGAGTTGAATAGTATCATTGTGAGACGTAGGCTGACATCAGCCATTAAGAAAACATACTATGCGGCTAAACTTAACATTGTGGAAAAAACAAAACACATTATTGTCATTATCATTATTATGATTATGATTATGATCATTATTATTAGTCCCTTGGGTTCCTAATGGAACATAGGGCTTCAGTAGCACATCTCCAGTAGACTCTGTTCTCTGAAAACTTTTGAACCTCGCTCCAGCACTGCCCACAAGCTCACATTTCTTCCTCGCACGATCTTCTCCATGTCGCCCTTGCTACGGATGCCCAACTTGCCGTTTCCCATCTGGGTTCTACTCAGTGACTTGGCGTGGCACGTGATGTCCCCAGTCGGCCTTCTCAGTGTATGCCCAATCCAACCCATCTGCACTTCCTTCCAGTGCACATTTGTTCAGTGATAGCTTCTTGGTTGGTTCGTTACCAGCCAGAGTTCCTTGTTGCTTATTCTTTCTGGACATCTGATCTTCAATATCAAGTGAGCGTGGGCGGCAGCTGTTGGTGAATGTTTGTATTTTGTTGGAAATGTTCTTCGTAACGCGCCAAGTCTCTCAACCATACAGAAGCACTGGCTTGACTGAATTGGTATTAAAAATCCGGATCTTCTTCTTTGTGCTGAGTGCATTAGCTCTCCACACTGGTTTCATGTTAATGAACGCCGGTCTTGCCTTTCAGATGCTGGCTTTGACGTCCTCGTCTGTGACGTTAGCTGTAGTCGAAACAGTGCTGCCTAGATAGGTGAAAGAGGCTACTTCTTTAAAGTTTCTTTTTTTAATGGTGATTGCAGCTTGTTGTTGTTGCTGTTGTTGTTGGTTGGGTATCTTCATCACCTCTGTCTTCTATACGTTCAAAACCTAAACACTGCATAAATGATTACATCACAACCCATTACGTGTGTGGTCACACATACATAGGAAAGAGTGATCCAACCATGCATTTGATGGTGGCGGGACATATACAACTGCAGGGTCAAACAAGCAGGTCATAAGTAGTTGATTAGGGTCAGATAGGCTATCCAATCACAAATTCCAACTAGGTCAAAATTCTCATTGTTCTTAATTTCAATTCTCTACCTTCATAGTTATATATGTCCTGGCATTCTTCAGTTGAATATATATTGACTTGACAGGTAAATGTGTGTGATCAGATTGTTTAAAATGCACTGTGTAAATTCATCACATTGTTCAGATAAACTTCACCTTCTAATTACACTATCTAAATTCATAAAAGGGGCTAACCGTTTCAAAAAGATGCAAGTGAAAGTATATCTTCTATCAAGATTTGAATTGAATAACAATTGAACATCACCAATTTTCGCTCACGCTAATTCGCAGTAATTCATCAGTTTCATTTGCATAAAAAATTGCTCAAAATTTTGCCAGATTTGATTCAGATGTAATAAATAAGTGTTCCAAATATGAATATAACTGATTCCAACTACAGCTGAATTGCTCTTAGGTTTGTTAAACTTCTCCGTCATTTACACCGGCTAAAAATTACTTTTACGTTACCTAATAACATCATCTGTGTGCAAATATCACTGAGGTTTGACTGTGTAATATGTTTCGACTACTGACAAATTTATTCAGTCCAACAAGGAAAAACTGTTGAATGAAAGAAAAAATGTAAGTCCCTACTCATTAAGTCTTTTATAAGACTTATTTACTTTTTTTTAAACATGCTTTGATATAATTATTCCTAAGAAGATATTACCAAAACTTCGTCTAGGTAAATAGTTCACTAGTTACTAGCCGGTCCTAAGCCTGTATAAACAGTGAAGCTTGGGCATAGGGATAGCAACCCTATCCCGGAACACCAATCCAATCGCTAAGCCAACTTCAAAGCATAAAGAAAATATATAAAAAATAAAAAGAAAATTATCCCTCACTGGAATCAGAGAGGCGAAATAATACCAGTTGACGAAAGCCTTCAGGATGCCAGTCGGCCGATGGTCTTCACTCCCTCACAGAAAGCGAAAGTAAGGATGAGGACATCAAATGTCCGCTCAGTGCTTGAACTTAGCAAGGCTGCCCAGGTTACAAAAGAAATGAGAAGATAAGGCATAGAAGTACTAGGCTAGGAATCTCCGAGAGCAGATGGAATGGAAGAGGACTCTTCAAACTATCAACTCGAGAGTCAATAATCTACTCCCAGATTGTCACACAGACGACAACCACGAACACACTCACTTCTGCAGTGACTATCATCATATCCACAACACCATCAAAGGCTTCATCCCATGCAATCGAAAACGATCTCCTCCTCCACCATCAGCATCATCACAACAAGATGGATTCAATTCAAAAAGAAACGAAGTCACAATCATTCAATACTACACTCCCACAAATAATGCAGATGAAGAGAAGAAGGAAGAATTCCATAGACAACTGCAATCAGTAATGAAGAAGACCACAACCTAGATGGCGACATCAGGATTCATTCTAACAGGTGACATGAATGCCGGACTGGGAGCAGAGAACCAATGATGGTTCGAGAAGCCGTCGGTGAAATGATGAATGAGAATGCAGAACTGTTTGCAGACTTCTGCGTATTTAACGAGTTGGTGATTGGAGGTAGTGTGTACAAACGCAAGGATATTCACAAGGCAGCGGCATGCGTGGAAAAACACTGGAACTCTCTGAAAGCTATGTAGAAAGAAACCTGCATAACCGTATTAAGAAAGAAGAAGAAACAAGACAATACAAAAAATGAATCTCGATGGACACATGGAAGCTGATAGAGGAGAGGAGGATGGTGAAGCAGAAGGCGAAGCAGTGCAGTGAAAAGCAGTGATGAACTACGAGAAAAGGAACTAAACACAACCTACATAGCACTACATTGGACAAAGAAATGAAGGAGAGTGCATGCAAAGTCAAAAGACACTTCTACGACACACTGGCAAGCAAAGCAGAGCAGGCTGCTGGTTGAAGAGACCTGACAGCACTGTCTGGGAAGAGATCAAGGCAGAAGTAACCAATGGAAGATAGTGAAGCAAACCTAGTTACCAAGGAGGAGAAACAAAGAAAACGATGGACTGACCACTTCAAAAAACTCTTGAAGTGATCACAACCACCACCTGCAACTCGTCCAAAACTACCACCAGCAGTCCAGCTACACAACTACCAGTGAACACAAGTCGTCCGACAAAAGCAGAAGTGAAGTCCTGGAAACGCTAAAGTTGCTGAAAGCCAGAAAATCAGCAGGACCAGCTGGAATTCCTTCAGAGGCACTGAAAACAGACTCATAGGCAACGGCAGACATGCACACACAACTACTCCATTGATTGAAAGAAAGTCTACCTTGATAAAATCCCAAAGAAGGGAGACCTAAGTATTTGCAAGAACAAAAACTAGTGGGAAATCATTCCCTAATCCCGCCTACATAAAGGAAACGAAAAATCAAGCCTCATCATCCTGAAGAGAATAAAAGATGCCCTGCATTCAAAGATACGACCGGAACAGGTTGAATTCAGGAAGTAACATCATGTACTCATCAAATTCCAACACCACGCCACGCCACACCACGCTACGCATCATCATAGAACACAACATAGAATAACAGTCAACTCTCCACCTCAACTTCATCCACTTTCTTTCAAAAGCCACTCGACAACATCGACCGATAAGTTATTTCACAGCTACTTCTACACTACCAAATACCACAAACCTCCATCAACCCCATTCAACACCTAATATGAAGACACCACATGCCAAGTTATACACATTGGAAATCTCAGCTCAATAATGCCTTTGAAGTGAAGACAGGAGTAAGACAATACTAGTTGGCCCTCTACTATCACCGACCATCTTCCTCATTGTCGTCAACTAGACTGGACTGCACTACACTACACTACACTGGATCACGCAACAAACTGTAAGGAGTGAGAAGATGGGGATACGTCGGCTGCACCGATGACAAGAACCAACAAGAAGATTTCGATCTCCACAACGATGAAGATGATGATGAATTATGTCTAATGTCTTGTCGCACAAACTCGAAGATCTACAAGCGACAACCAACAAGTTGACAGAAGAGACAGAGCAGCGAAGATCAGACTTCAAGTGAATGTAGAGAAGACAGAGATGACAGATGAAGACACTCAACCATAAACAGCATTCACAACAAGCACCAATCACCATGAATGGGAGGAGCGTGAAGGAAGTAGTCTCTTCCAACTACCACCTAGACAAGGCAGCATCACCTCAACTACAGATGACACAGGCACAGATCAGAACTTCAAAGCCAGCATCGGAAACACAGCGAGATAGGCCTTCCTGCATTAATGTGAAATCAGTGTGGAGATGTACTGCACCACACTTACCATAAAGCGTGAACAATATCCGGATTTTCCACACGAATTCAGTTGAGTGAGATCTTCAATGTGATGTTTCAGAAACTTGGTGTGTCACCGAAAGCATTTTCAAGAAACTATACACATACATCAACAGCTGCCACCTACTCTCACTCGATGCTGAAGATCAGATCAGGTAGTCAGAATAGAATAATAAGAATAAGCAACAAGGACCTCTGGCTGGCTGGCAACGAACCAAAGAAGCAAGAACCCATCACCCAAGAAATATGCAGAAGATGAAAGTGGAAATGGATTGGGCATGCACTGAGAAAGCGATTTGGTGATATCACGTGCCAGGCCAGACCAGACCAGGCCCTCGAGTGGAATGCAAAGGGAAAAGGACGAGTTGTGCTTCCCAGGATGACAGAGGAGATCGTGTGGGGAAGAAATGAAAGCTTGTGAGGAGTAGTGAAGCTATGTTGAAGAGACTGCAGAGAAGAGAGTGCAATGGAGACGTGCTACAGAAGCTCTATGTTCGACTAGGTACTCAAGAGACAAATAATAATAAAGATATTACCATAATTTTCTTCAAAAAATACCATTAAACTAATATGTTTTGTGCAGGCGAACAAGTACTTGGAAAACTTGATTTAGTTGTCAGTTAAAATTAATGCTTCCTCAATTTTCTTTGAATAAAATTAGCCAAAACTTCAGAAAGTCTTTTTTCCCTTTTTATGATAAATTGGAATAATATGGTGTACAAAGAAATCATGAAGTCTACTGCTGAAATGCAGACACACCTTGAAATGCAAAAAAAAAACACTTGAAAATAATACTTCTCTTCTTTGCATCGAATAAACTAGACCACTTTATCATTTTGTGGGGTTATGTTCATTTTAATAGTTATACCAAAACGAATACAGGCAACCTCTGACTATATATATGGAGTACGAAAGAAATATACACTTATAAAGTCGAATATTCGAAGTTATGCCATAGTTCATAAAACGCTTCACATTTTGACAGAAAAACATGATCTATATAAACTATGTTGAAAACAATGCAAATATGTCGTACAAGTCTTTTCTTTCAAAGTGATTGGTCATGCCTACTCAAACAGATTGTTCAATCGCTGTTCAAGTACCTTGAGGAAACAATATATGTAATATTGAAGTGAATCATAAGAAATTACATAACTAAGTAAAAGAAAATATGTAAAACAAATATAAATGCATTCTATGAATATTTGCTTTTTTTTTGATTGAACAAACGTTATGACTTGCATTGTAGATGACATAATGTTTTTAAACATTCACAAAAATTTCTGTTTAAACCAATATATAAAAAGAAATTTGTTGTTGATGTAATGAGACATAATAACTGGCTAAAGTGTTTATATAGTGCAGAGAATGGTCGACATTTTATGCATGATCGTGGTACAATTAAATCTAAAATATGAATATAAGCTAATGCTTGAGGAATCTGACCAATTATGAATAAAAATATCACAGTCATTAATAATATGGATAATTTATTATTAGCTTGTTGTGAACGTTCCAGTCGCCTACTTGCTAATGAGGTACGTTTCAAAGTTAATGGATTTTCATTGGTATTATTATTATTATTGCTTTTCTTGATAATTCCAATATTATCTTTAGGATTGGTAATTGACAGTGGTGAACTACTGCATTTTGAAAATTCAACTAATGCATTGACACCTTCATCATCTACTGAAGGTAAAATTTGACAACATGGGATAATACTTGAAGTTACTTCTGTATTTTTGTATGATTTTCTGTCATCTTCGTTTATAGCTTTTATACTGGATGTTACTGGACCCGATGAACGTTTCATATAAGTCTGTTGACTTAATTGATGTTTCTTTTGATTGTGATAACTTGACCATGTTAGACGCAATAGCATAAAGTTAACTATACATAAGGTTATTAAAGGAATGCATTGAACACAAACAAAACGTATCCATGTAAATATATGATAATATTTTGAATGACCAAACCATGTGAGTTTAGTATAATGAAAACGTCTTGTTGTATTGTTTGGTCCTTGTACAACAGAGCTACTTATTTTCAATGTAAAAAATAACGGAAAATTAAAGATTACAGCTAGACAAACTGTTATGAATACTTGCCACTTGCCTTGACTACGCGTAAAATGCAACTTTCCCAAATGCGGCCATTTCATAATGATATAACGTTCAGCTGAGATCAGTACAGTTATCCATACAGATGATGCTTCAAGGATGTTACCTAGTCCAAATCCAATGTATGTTACATAATATAATAGTATCACCCTAAATTGTTTATATGCTTCAGTTTTACATATTTGAAGTTGGGTTGCGCATCTAAATAAAAGTTTTTAAAAAAAGACAAGAATTAATTATCACATTCATCATCTGACTAGAATAAATAAAGTAAATAAGACTATGCTATGAGCAAATATAATATCTATTAACATGAACAATCAGAGGATATTATTATTTATTGACATACCTGTTATTGAATGGAATTGTTCTACCTCTGTTGGCATATGCGCTGGTATGCAGATGCCTTGCTATTGCTTGAATGTTAATTATGATTATTTGGTTGGTTGTGGCTAGCAGAAGAATCCAAAACGCGCGTTTCAACCCATTTGGGACTCGCCAACTGGGTGTACTTGCACCTCAGTGAGTGATGTTGTTCCCACTGAGACTGGAACCACGTGCCCATCGCTTCAAACTCCAAGGTGTTATCCATTATGCCACAGAGGGACGACAGCCACTTCTTGTACAACTGGTAGTACTTATTACCGTTTGTACGTCAATAAATAGTAATAAGTACTACCAGTTGTACAAGAAGTGGCTGTCGTCCCTCTGTGGCATAATGGATAACGCCCTGGCGTTTGAAACGATGGGTATATGGTTCCTGTCTCAGTGGGAACAACATCACTCACTGAGGTGCAAGTACATCCAGCTGACGAGTCCCAAATGGGACGAAACGCGCGTTTTGGATTCTTCTGCTAGCCACAACCAACCAAATAATCAGAGGATGGTTTAAAATTACTGAAATAACCAACTAGGCATAAAAATTTCCAAAGAACACTTTAGTTTCAATAACTGAAGGCTTTCATTCCTCAGCTGAGGTTAACTGCTAAGTCCCCTGAAAAACATTTATCACAAACACTTCTTATTTAAAGACAACCATCAAATAGGTCAGAGAGAGAAGATTACATGAAGGCATCAGCCATTAAAATTTTCGAACATATTGTTAGCTCCTTTAGCCATATAAACTTGGTGAATAATATAATATAACTTAGATAGATCTAGATAAACAGGGAGAATTAGCCTTGTTAGATTGTAAAACAAAACGAAGAAAAGAAAGTGATATAGTTTAAATGTCTAGACCTTGGGTCGCTTCACCCTAAATCACTAAGTGTAGGTACAGTTAAGTGGTTAAGTAAGTAACCGAGTTATGAATCTATGAAGTAAGCCAAAAAACTTAAATCGTGAAATTAAATACACACAAAAGAAGCTTTACGTTCTAATAATTACCCTCCTAAATTTATTCACAAAAACGGAGTGATGTGAACAAGGATCGCAACCCGACTTGGAAAGAATTCAAAGCTGCTATATTATTCCCCGATTATGATTTGACCTCAGGAAATAGGCTTGGCATTCCTTACACGTCTGAGATTAGGGTTGCATTCAAAACTGCAGAATCACTCAGCAACAAACTATGCCTGTTTAAGGATTATACTGACCGAATTAGATAGAACAATTTAACTTATCAAATACCTTGCGCTGACGGTATGCTCGAGTATTTAGGTCAAACTAGTCAAGCACGATTAGTCAACTTAGTAGAAAATAAGAAGCTAGGTAAGACTAGATCCATGCATTCTACTAAGGCGAGTATTATACAGCGGAATTTTAATATACCTGTACTTGAGATAATACACATTGTTAGACAACAGAATGGGAGCAGAGTTAAGGTAATGAAGATATAAAATTAAGTGAAAATACATGAAGATCACTGAATCTCTTTTCATTAATTTACCGCCTAACATGTGTAGACAAAATGATTTAATACCAATTCTGAATATGTAAGAACCTTTACTACTAATTAAATCAAATAATTAAAAACAATCAAAATATAAAAGCAGAAAGGGAAGTTGCGTGATTGTCTTGATATGATTATAAGAAGTAAATTCAGCTCTAAAGGTCATGAAGTGAATAATACTGTATCACTATGTCCTACATAAAGTAGACTAATCTTATTTGATAAAGAGGTACTATTTAAATTCAGATTCATGTAGGGTCACTTCTTCAGTACAGTAGTCAGCTCCTATCTAAGCTGTCAAAGTCTAAAAATCTTAATTTCTCTGCAAATAGTACTTAACGCTCATTTTCATTGAGGATTTTTCTACAACCCATGAGTTCATCTTTTAGATGAATAACAATTTAGCTTCGCTAAATAAAACCCATAAAAAGCGACATAAATAGAAATCAACACTCCAGTTCATCAGCCGGCAAGGTACAAGTTTTGGATTCCAACTTTTGTTTCATATTGCTGTGTAGTCAGAAAAAGCCTTACTGGACAATTTTCTCCTATAGCTAACCAATCAAAATAAATATCAAACTTTAGACGTAGTGGGTTTTATATGTTCATGAAAAAACTGTACATAAATGATGTATTTTTCCTCGAATAAAGACTGTTCCTTTCAGCCATAGCCTTCTTTTTGTCTTCTGACTCTCGGGGCTCAGTGAAGTACAAGCTTCTGAGGGAAAACAGTCTCTATTCGAATCCAGCGCAAGTGTGTCGTCTCGTTATTATCTTCTGAGTATTTATCATTATTCATCCAACCAATTCTACAGTAGACATGGGAACCAATTGCAGTTCTCACTTATAGAAGACAGTTCATCATTTAATCACTCTATAAATTCATTTTTTAATCCATCCCCTCTTTCAACCTCTTTTCCAGTCAATTCAACATCCAAAAACAGTATATTTAACTTACTTTCAACATCAGTTGTGAATTTATTGCAGAATGTCAGCTTCTGAACGCTTGCTGGAAGTGGTCTTCAACACAGTCATAGTAAAACTAATGTCATTCACATACCTTTTGTACACACAAAATTTGGCTCATCGACATTTTCAAGACCAGATACACAACAAACTGCCATTATGGAAAAAAGTATGGATCCCTTTGGAACTACAGATTTCTTTCTATAGATAACACCGTGCAAGGTTATTGTTCTGCCAAAAACATATGTATATAATAATTCTTTTATATATGAAGTATTCTGCTAAGGCCAAAGTTAGTATCATCATTTTATCTGGCCAACATACATATAGCCTTTATGCAGGGAATCTTTATGAAGACATATTGCAAATATTGATTTAAAAGGCAAGCTTTTTAGACATAGTCAAGTATTTTGTTCAGAAAAGGAGTCTAAACCCATCATGTACCATTTCCTTCAGTTCCTAATATTTCACGTACCTACATCGTAAGCCCATGTCATTAAAAAATGAAGGAAAAGAAAGACGATCTTTATGAACTGCAGATAGATTATATAGTCATGAAGTTATGTATCTTGTTGGTTTGATATAATCATAGAGATCTTTGCTGATCAATCAATCACCAATCAACGTCTAGAAATTGTATATGTAGGCAGTAATTAGACAAAAACGTATGAATTAGGGACAATTTTACTTTTTCACCTCATCTTATTAAAAACTGAGTGATTTTGAAGCTTCTTTGAGTTTGACGTCAACTTTTAGAAATATCAGAACATCTTGGTAGGTCGAAGCTAGATTTTGACATTAAACATGCTAACTTACTTACAATTGACAAGATATAAATTTACACAGCTGTCCCTCTAAAAAACTTCAGTGCAATGAACACCTAAAAATGGAATCGAAATGTCAGACAAAGATACTAATGACTTGTTGACAAACTTTGTTGAATGACTGTACATAAGTTAAGACAATGACGTCAGACATTTTTACAACCCAGAATGTTATATATATATATATATATATATATACTGTTTTTATTTAAGATGGATATTCAGTACATACACGAAAGATATGATATTAGGGCCTAGCGGTAACAATTTGTTGGAATACTGATCCTTCAAATATTTTAATATATCCATCTTCTTGCAACAATAGCTTTGAAGAAAATTGTATCGCTAGAGATACCTATTCACAGGCTTTACAAATCACATTGACAAATGATTCTAGCTTCGTGTTCCATGATTTTCTAGTTGCTGTAGAGTTTTCATCACAACTGAATTCGCTCACATTTCATTTTCTTTTCTTTCTAGAGTTAGATAAATTTTGAAATTTAACAAAATGCCTATTTCAACACAAAACTTTCTAAGACCTGATTAGGAACCAATGAACCAGCAATGAAAAAAGTAGATAGATCTCCCCAAAGTCAAAATGTTCCTGTTGATGATCTTCTTCGTGACAAGTCGAAAGCCATTTAAGTAATATTGATAATCTGAACAAAAATTACTTTGTCTTCATGAAGTCTATATTTATATCTATCTATATATTCGTCTTTATTCATATTTACTAGCCGGTTCTAAGCCCTGAAAAACAGTGAGACTTGGGCATAGGGGGTAACAACCCTATCCCGGAACACCAATCCAATCGCTAAAGAAAATTCAAAGCACAAACAAAGTGTCAAACATAAAATTAATCTTATTCCTAGCTGGAATCAAAGGGACGAAATGACGCCGATCGGTGAAACACTTCACGAAGCCAGTCGGCCTATGTATCTCCTCTCGATGAAAGGGAAAGTAAGCATTGGGACGTGGAATGTCCGCTCAATGTTAGAAGCTGCCTGTTTGGGTGGCAAAGCTGCCCAGATTGCAAAAAAATGATAAGATATAACATAGTAGTGTTACGAATCTGCAGATGGAAAGGAAGAGTACTCTCCAAACTATCAACTCGAGAGTCAATAATCTACTCCCAGATTGTCACACAGACGACAATCACGAACACACTCACTTCTGCAGTGACTATCATCATATCCACAACACCATCAAAGGCTTCATCCCATGCAATCGAAAACGATCTCCTCCTCCACCATCAGCATCATCACAACAAGATGGATTCAATTCAAAAAGAAACAAAGTCACAATCATTCAATACTACACTCCCACAAATAATGCAGATGAAGAGAAGAAGGAAGAATTCCATAGACAACTGCAATCAGTAATGAAGAAGACCACAACCTAGATGGCGACATCAAGATTCATTCTAATGGGTGACATGAATGCCGGACTGGGAGCAGAGAACCAATGATGGTTCGAGAAGCCGTCGGTGAAATGATGAATGAGAATGCAGAACTGTTTGC